AGGCCACAGGGTGTAACAGAGACTCCAAAATATAGTGCCTGAAAATAGGTGAGACACACAAGGACACTCAATATTGTCAAGATGTCAGCTTTCCCACCCTGATCTAGGGGTTCAAGGCAATACCATTCTTGGAAAAGCCATTGCTGGGTGTGATTTTTGTTGTCATTTTGTCGGCTATGGTTGCCAAACTGGCTTCCAAGAAGTCCCTCTACAAACTGCCAATTCCCACACACCTTTGACAGGTGTGATCAATTTTGTAAACATTGGCTAAGTGACAGGTGAAGACACCTTTTAAATTTGCTCTTCCCTAACGATTGACAGGTCAGGCGATCTGCTATGTTTATTGAGTAGTATTTCTTCTGTAAATTGCTTACTGGTGTTCTTGCCAATCTTTCCACTAGTTCATTGTCTTTTTCTTATTTCTCTGTGGACAATTTCTTAATTACAGGAATTAGGTTTAATTTCAAAATGTGTCACATTCCCCCCCGGTTTGCTTTTTAATTTAAAATTTCCAACACATTTGAAATTTGTACGTAGTCAAGTTTCTCATTCGTTTCCTTCAGTGTTTCCAGGTTTATTGTGATGCTTAAGGCTATAAAAGCATTCATCGACTCCCCAGTACATTTTTTGTTTCTTTTTTATATTTGAATGTTTGATCCATCTGGATTTTATTTTGGTGTCAAGCAGTGAGAGAGGGAGCCAATTTCTATTTTTCCAAGTGGTCGGCCAGTCGTCCCAACGCCATCCGGCTGAAAACCCTTTCCTTGGGTTTGAAGCGGCCGCTGCGCCAGCACGTTCCAAGCTCGCGCGTCTGCCCAACGCGGGCGGTCCAGGGACCCCGCGCCGCCAGATATCGGCAGGCCACCAGCCCGACGGCCCTGGTGCCGCCCGACCGAGTCAGACGAGGCGAGTAGCAGGGGCTGGGGCCGATACGCCCCTCCTGCTGAGAACCGATCCCCTCCCATCCGCCAAGGACCGACGACCCCCATCCCCGCTGAGGACTGATCCCCTGACACCACCCACTGCGACTCCCAACTCCCACGCCCTCTGAGGACGGAGCCCCCAAGCCTGCGCCGAGGAGGTTTCCGCAACATCCCACCTCCTCCCTCCCAGGTCCCACTCTCAGCCCTTTTACCCCCGACCCCGACTCCGGTCTCTCCTCCCCGGTGGTCCCAAGAACGGAACGGGATCGCGAGAGTAATTTAAATAAAAGGCGTGGACTCTGACTCTATTTGCATAGGGGCGGGGCCTCGGGCGCCGGGACCGCCAACCGGCTGGGAGCGGCCCAGGGGCGGAGATCCACCCAGAGACCTAATTTGCATGGGGCGGGGCCTGACTCTTCAAGTGGAGCCTGGCGCCACTTCCCCCGTCAGTGGGCTTCCTGCAGCTTCCTTCCGCCTTCCGCCCAGTTCCCCGCTGCCTTCGCGGGCCGCCGCCGGGATGCTACCGAAACGGCGGCGGGCGAGGGTCGGGTCCCCTGACGCCGCCCCCTGCCC